ATGCTGCCTTTATCGAAGGCGGGAGGATAAAGCTGCGGACCAATTCATGATTAATAGTCCAATATTTGCTGTGTACTTTTTCTATGTAAGAGTAAGACCGTTAGGCTAATTCTGTTCCTATCAGATGATTTAATGCAATTTCATTGGTTTCTTCATAGCCTGCCATGCCCTGAAAGTTTATTATGAATCATAGCAATGTCGCAAGTCATAAACAGACAAAATACTTCTTGCTGAACGGACTATAATAAGACGCTAGCCTGAGCATCATGAATCATGGCATCCTGCTTAAATAATGGGAAAGAAGCCTTTAACGAAATCTATAGAAGTAGTCCTCAACTTACAACCATTATCAAGCCCCAAATTTATGTTGCTAAGTGAAACATTTTTTTAAAGTGAGGTTTTGCCCCATTTTATGACTTTCTTGCAATGGCTGTTAAGTGAACCATTGCAGTTGTTAAGTGAATAACATGGTTGTAAAGTGAATCTAGCTTTCCCATTGATTTTGCTGGCCAGAAGGTCACTGTCATGCCGCTGGTGGAGACTGACTCTAAGGGAGAGGAGGAACAGCCGACAGGGAGTGGATGTGTGGCTCCGGAGGTTGTGGAGGAGGCTGGGGAAGGGCAGAGTCCGGCTGGGCAGTCAGAGGAGGACCCAGGCCCATCCCCTCCCCATCCTAGGGCACGCAGGGAGGAGAGGATAAGGGAGAGACGTGGTCTACTCAGGAGGAGAGGGCCTTGATCCTCTTCATGGGCTGCAGCTGTGACAACTGAATAAGAGGACGGACATGCGTACGGGCAAGCGACTTTCTTGTTTTTCTTTGAAGACACTTCATTTCTCATCCAAGAAGCTTCTTCGGCTCTCACTTCTTGGATGAGAAGCGAAACGTCTTCAAAGAAAAACAAAGAAAGTCCAGTTGCCTCTTGGAAAAAGCACCTTTGGGACAACCAGGACGTGGATGACGGAGAGTCTCCATAAACATTCTTCATATGTTGCCTCCTGTCCCTTCATCATCTTCGTTGCTCTTCTCTGCACTCTTGCGAGTCTCAACTTCCTTTTTTTTATATCATGGAGACCAAGCTCTCCATCTTCAATGCTCTTTTAGCAAACTTGCCCTCCTGAAACGACCACATTTTTTTTTCTTATATGGGTATGTAATTTTGCTGATTTCCCCCCAGATCTCTCCCTACCTCCTTGCAAACTTCGGTGAGCATTGCAGAGAATTAGGGCTGAGTATGGGGTTGTTTACTCAAGTGTGAAATTGACACGGAGAGGCTTGTCATGGCAATGTGCATGGCGCCTGAGTCCGGCCATAAGGGAGCTATGCTCAGAGGAAGTCAAAGCAGCTCCCCATATGCTGTGCAGATTCATGTAAATTCACAGTAATAATTAGGAACGAATCCTGACTTCCTTGTGCCAGAATAGCTGTAGAAACTGCAGGCAGCAGGGGGTTGAAACGAAAGTCAAGATTCATGCCAGTGACTCAGAGTTCAGCACAAAAGCCTTTTGAATGAAAAACACACCCATTTCTCCTAACATAGCTATCTAGGAAGAATCAAAGAGGTTGAGCACAGTTGGGGACCTCCAAGAATGCTCTGTCTTTACAGATTAACAGAGTAGGAAGGGACCTTGTAGGTCATATAGTCCAACCCCCTGCCCAAGCAGGAGACCCTACACCAGGAATCTCCAAACTTGGCAACTTTAAGACTTGTGGACTTCAACTCCCAGAATTCTCCAGGAATTCTGGGTATTGAAGTCCACAAGTCTTAAAGTTGCCAAGTTTGGGAACCCCTGCCCTACACCATCCCCGACAAATGGCAGTTCAGTCTTAGACTAGATGACCTACAAGGTCCCTTCCAATTCTGCTAATCGGTTAAACCTGAGGCCATGTTTCTCAACCTTAGCAGCTTTAAATTATGTGCATTTCAACTCCCAGAATTCCCCAGCCAACATGTAGTAGTCCAGACACTGAGAAATAGCCATGCAATAGGGATTATCGAGAACAGTGTTTCTCAACCTTGGCAGCTTGAAGATGTGTGACCTTCAACTCCCAGAATTCCCCTTGCCAGCAGATCTTGCCTTGGAAGGCATATACACATACATATACATATACATATACATATACATATGCAAATGCATACATACATATACATATATTGTCTTCAAGACAATAAGGTTGAGAAACACTGATCCAGAATGCCACAATTCTTGGCTAACTGTAAGAGTCCATTTTCCTAGTGAACCCAACTAGTTGACTATAAAACCTTGAGCTACCAGCACACCTGATAAACCCTGAATCAAACAGACGAACAAGGTATAGAAATTGTTATGCAACAATTTCCAGAAACATATGAAAAACGGTTGCAGGAATTGGGTATGTCTAGACTATTAAAATAAGGACTAGGGGCAGTGGTGGGATTCAATTTTTTTTTTTTTTACTACTAGTTCTGTGGGCGTGGCTTGGTGGGCGTGGCTTGGCTTCCCAAAGCACCAGAAGACAAGACAAGAAACAATGGGTGGAAACTAACCAAGGAGAGAAGCAACCTAGAACTAAGGAAGAAATTTCCTGACAGTGAGAATAACCAACCAATGGAACAGTTTGCCTTGTGTGCTGCAGGAGGATTCTAAGAAGAGACTGGATAGCAATTGTCTGAAAGGTGTAGGATCTTCTGCCTGAGAAGGCAGTTGGACTAGAAGACATCCAGGGTTCCTTCCAACTCTGATGTTCTATGTCCCTTCCTACCTTGTAAGAGCCAGCCTTTCCTTTCCTTGGGCCTGCTAGATTTCAGTCTTCAACTTTCCCAGTCATCCTGACCCAAAGCAATCTGGGAGCTGCAGTCCAACCTATCTAGGAAGGATTACTTGGTGGAAGAATAATGGATGGAAACCGAACAAGGAGAGATTCAACCTGGAAAACAGTGAGAACAATCAACCAATGGAACAGAAGTTGCCCTCGGAAGTAGTGGGAGCTTCATCACTTGAGACCTTCAAGAAGAGATTGGACTGCTATTTGCCAGAAATGGTGTAGGCCAGGGTCTCCCGCTTGGGCAGGGGGTTGGACTAGATGACCTACAAGGTCCCTTCCAACTCTGATTATCTGCTCTATGGAGCTGGGCCCCTTATAAATTCAATTGAACAAACAAAACAAAATCGTAAAATAATATTCCTCAAAAACATAGCAGGTTGCTAAAACCTGTGGAGCAGTGTTTCTCACCCTTGGCCACTTTAAGAGATGTGGACTTCAATTCCCAGAATTCCCCAGCTAGAGGACACCAAGATTTGCAGGCCATTAAAAAGGAACTGCATTGTGTTGGTCTGATATACAGTGCCTTCATTTATCCTAGCATAGCCTTGAGGAATTCCTAACATACCCAAAGCACATTCTTCAAACATTCTCTCTCTTCCCACTATAGTGGGAAGGCGCACGCATGCACACACACACACACACACACACACACACACACACACACACACCAACAAATACACACAGAGCCTGTGGAAAACAATTTCAAGAGCATCATCTGTGTTCCATGTGATAAACAAATATCATCCCTGCATTATACCAGTGACCAGGACTTGAATAGGACATAGCACATTCACACCATCAGCCAGACATATACATCAAGGTTGCACTGCAACAGTTTAGTGCAGTGCCCTCCTTATTCCTCTGCCTCTGGGTTTAAATACAGTTGCTTATGAAGTCCATACTTCTATGCATAAAATCCCAAGTGTTCAGTATAATAGCTAAGCAGAGGAGATAAACTCTACAAAGGGGAGAAAATCCTAGCAAGTTCTGAAAACCCGATTCCTCTACCATGCACATGAGGAATAGAGCATCTCTGTCTCTTCCCAGCCAGCCCTCTCCTTTGTTTGGGTGGCATGCTGTCCAATCACCTGGATGCGATGCCTTGTGGCTAGGCAAATGGAATGGAGCAATTTTCCTCTTAAACACAAAGTGGCGTTTAAACAGCCAGCTCCTAACCCCACCTGCAAAACAAAAACAACATGACTGACCCGCAGGAATCAGTACAGCATTTGGTGGCACAGCTAAGGTGAATGAATAAAAGCGGTAAATGATGATGCTAAGACTGTGTCCTCACTCCCTGTATCTTTCTTTGGGGCACCAGAGAGCAACCGCACTGCATGCCTCGGTGCTCCAGGAGATGAGGACTAGTCAGGTACTACTAGCCAGGTGATGGGAAGATGCAAGGCTTGGTCAGGGAGCGCTGGCCTTGACAGACAAAAGAGCTGATGCTCCCTTCGCCTCTCCATCCGCGGCTGTCCCTCTCTCGCAGAACCGAGATTGGAAATTAAGGCTCGCCTGCTAACGGTGTCGTCGGTGTCAGACAAGCAGTCTGTTCCCAGCGAACCCTTATTTAACCGAGGGCTGCGGATAATGGTACAGTCCAAGAGAGCCGGTGAGGAGGGAAAAGAATAATCTGCTCCTTTTCGGGAGCACCAGGGCCAGCTTCAAACGTAACCACCCACAAGAGCGAGATGTGCTGCGAGAGAGGCAACCAATGTACTAAGCCAAACATTCCCCCCACTCCTGCAGCAGCCTGTCTTCACTCTTTCCCCCCCCACACACACACACACCAAGCACACAGCCAGTGGAATTTGTGTGTGGGCTCTGCTTGCTGAAATGCAGAGCTAACATAATTGGGCACCCACCAATACTCGTGGCTCCTGGGAAGATGCTGCCAGCTTTGCCCAGATACTAAGTGTGGATGCTCTCACTTACCCCGTTTTGGGGAAACCAGGATTTAATCCCAGGAGGACAGAACTGACAAGGACTGCAAACTAAGGTCACGGGCTAGACTTGGACATCGTTCAAGGCTGCCTCCTCCCTCGAGGCCGAGTCTTCAGTCTCCCTGAGAAGCTCCTTGCAGTTGGGCTTTGTTTCTGGTGGTGGCTCCCCTGGACGGCAACCTCGGGCTCTCCTACCTGCAAGGCATTCAGACGTGGCTCTTGCCATTCCAGATCTCCTCTCCCCACCCACCCTACCCACCCACCCGGCCTGGGGAATTCAGAGTGGAAGGCATGAATGGGCAAGGACAGCCGTAGAAGGTTGAAAGGTAAGGCGGGTCAAAAGTGGTATGGATGCATCCAGAGGGTTCCTCTTGTACTTCCAGCGCAAGAGTTTGTCCCTAGCTTCATCCCAACCTGTTTATCAATGACAAAAAGGCTGCCTAATTTATTCTAAATGCTCCCCCCATCTCCCTCTCGCTCCCCTCTCTCTCCCTCTCTCTCCCTCTCTCCCCCACTCCCTCTCCCCCTTCTCCCTCTCCCTCTCCCCCCTCTCTCTCCCTCTC